ACAAACTGTGTCGACATGAAAAAGTTGAGTGCTCAGACGATCGACAGACCCAATCCCAGCTAAGAGGAATCCAGTCACAGAATCTTCGTCCCCAATTATCGCTATTTGACAATCGCCCTTTCGCATCTGGGACGCTTGTTTCTGCGCTATTTCTTGCTGTGAAGTCATTGAAATTTTAAGTTCTTATGCATTTTATTGTTTGGTCTTCTTACTCTTTCATTAAGAAAATGGCATTATTCTATTAATGGTAATACAAAAACTGTTTTTGAGTGGTAATTGAGTGGTAGTAAATCGTATGATGGTCTAGAATTCTAATTTGCTTAGAAAACAGTCAGCCTCAGAAAAACTGCAGAAATCGAAACAAAAACAATTTTTGGGTTGAAATTATAAAAGATAGAACTTATAGTATTATATATATTTATTAATTATATTAGATGGATTATAATATAATATAATATAATATAATATAATATAATATAATATAATATAATATAATATAATATAATATAATATAATATAATATAATATAATATACTTTATTATACTCATCAGATTTTTTTAAATTATTAAAAACGAGTTGGTTTAGAACTATATTAATAGTTGTTTATAGTAAATAACAACTAAAAAGAAAGCCACTAAATTTTTCTTTGATAAGTTTCAAAGGCGAACTTGAATTGAGCAAAACATAACCGAAGCAGATGCCCTTATTGTAATAAAATTTTCTATATTTTTTATTAGTACTTATTTCCTCAATTATAGAGTAAAAAATTAGCCATAGAAATAAAAAATAAATAAACGACAAAATAAACAAAAACAGAAGCAAAAAAATGAAGACTTCACCACATCGATGTTTTGAAAAAAAGGAGAAAACAAGAAACTCATAATACAACATCAAACAACATGAGTGAGCGATTAATCCAGAAAATGGAATCGTTAGCAATGACTGGTGACAATCGACTTTGCTTTAATTGTGGTCGAACTGGAACCGCTTTTATTGTTACTGATTTCAACATATTTGTATGCACATCATGTTCAGGAATTCAGTTTGTTTTACTTCATTTCTAGTGGAGTCAAGTGGCACTAAACTATATTGTATTATTAGTAAACTATTCAATAACTATAAGTCGAGAATTTAACCATCGTGTCAAGTCTGTGTCTATGAGTAACTGGACAACCGACCAATTCGACAAGATAAAAAACAGTGGGAATGCCGCGGGGAGGAGAATAGGCTCGCGAAAAAGCCGTCGAATTTTTCATTACCAAAAGCCGGTGATCA